AACTATCTACTGGGGCTTTGGGGAGAAAAAGAGGAAAAAAGGAGGAGGATTGGCAATAGATGTTAGCTCAGGGGCACTCTTCCTCAGCAAAAAAAAAAAAAAAAAAAAGAGGAGGATTGGCATGGATGTTAGCTCAGGGCTGATCTTTCTCACACACACACAAAAAAAGTACATATGAGTAAATCAACAGAAGCTGCCTTAGAACATGAGTCAACAAACTACAGACCACAGGTCAATTCCAGCCCTCCACCTGTTTTTGTAATTAAAATTTTATTAAAACACAGCCACACCCATTTGCATCTTGTCCATGGCTGCTTTCACTGTAACTGAGTAACAGAGTAACAGTTACTGTTGAGTAACTGTTACTGAGTAACAGTAACAGAGACTACAGGGCCCACAAAGCCCAAAATACTTACAATCCAGCCCTTTACAGAAAAATTTTTCTGATCCCTGCCTTAGAACACTGTCTCAAATTTTTCTACCCAAAGAATTGTAAGAGCAAAAAGGCAGTTAGTATTGTGAGACCTAGAGGGTTGGCCTTAAGCAACTAGCCATAAACAAGCTATTTCTTAGGTTTTTATCTTTAAAGTTTATGTGACTTGTGCATCTTGGACTCAAATATATTCACGCTGTAATGCAAAAACATGGTAATCTACAGTAATCTGGATGAGTGGATTTATCCCTTGAGGTTCCCCTCCACAAGGGAGCCTTGCAGGACAAACAGCACAAGAACCCCAGTTTGCAAACCACAGCCTTAGTTCCTCCTCCTCAATAGAACCAGTGTGGAAGGAAGGCTCTGGAAGCTTTTAAGCATCCACTGAACCTCACCACGTACCCATCATTTCTTACCAGCTCAGAAGTCCTGCTAAAGAAGATCCAATAAGCACATTAAAACTGGAATCCCAAATGCCCTTATTATTGACTGAATGTACTTCAGGTCTACGCCCCACCACACTGAGAGACTAATGAGTGACTATTATTTTTCCCCAGGCAACGTTCAGAAACTATTCAGAGAACCCAGCTCTACCTGTCGGAAAGGCTTCAGACGTGGGACTTCGTCAGAGACCTTTCGAAGGCCAGCTTCCTCATAATGGACAGTTTCTAACTTAAACAATTTGCAGTACTCCCTTTCCACTGTTAAAATTCTTAATTAATCCTGCTATTAGCAGCCATGCCATAAGTACTTTTTCTTTAGCTAGTCAGGGTGCTGGCAAGACAATTTCGTACACCACTGGGAGAATTTTCGGGGCATTTGCCTCTGTTATCTGTGGACATTCTTTCACATTACAGGATGTAGGGGCTTCAAATGGTGGGAAGGGAGTTTCTCTCGGGTAAACAGCTACAAATCTTCAGGGTAAACAAAGAATTCCAACAGAGAAGAACAAATATACCAGAAAGGGAGACTCTATGAGAGAGACAAGGACAGGCCCCAGGGAAGGAGGAAACCCAATGGAGTCGCAGAAGTGAAGTCTCTCTGGGAGGACCTCTGGCTACAGTAACAACAAAATAAAATTGAAGGAAAGATTCACGGAGATGTCAAGAAATGCTTATCTTTGGGGACTCCTAAACCGGTTTTATTTGTATGTCTTTGTCCACGATGAAATAATTCATGGGACCCAAAAGGACAGACATTGGGAAAATAATGTGACAAATACACAGTCTGTTGACCATTTCCTTCCAGCCCTGGTCAACCAAATGCCATATAAACGTGGTAAGCCTTTGACAGTACTTGTCACAAAAACCAGAAACAGGAACTCAAAAGTTACGATCCCGACAAAGGTTAAATACAAGCCTTCCTGGTATTGTTGGGAGACCTGTGGAAGGGGCTGTTCCCTCTGGGGACAACTGAACACCACAAAGAGTCATTCCCTCCCATGTTCCCAACCTTCTCCACCTCACACTAACTGCTGGGCAGCAGCCCAGATCAAGCCTCAGAGGAGGAAAGCAATCATTGCTGTACTTCCCCCTCAAACCAGAATTTAAACTGCCAAAATTACCACGTACTTATTACAATTCACTTAAGCCTCGGACAATAAAATTGATCTACTGAGTGGGGAGCAGGTCATGGTAGGATCTACAAATTCATAGCTAGATTTCTCCCCCCTCACCCTCTGCAACTCCTTTCACCTCTCCTATTTCTATGTAATACAATGAGATTGCAATGAACGTGGGAAACCGAATTACCTGATGTAGGAGAATGATGCGCTCAGGCTGTGTCACACTAGCATGAATTCTGATAAATAAATGGCTTCACAGTTCAGCTTGGAAAGGTCTCTCTCTCTCTCTCTAAAGTAAGATTTAAAATCACACCAAAAAATCTTTGATTTTTTTAGCGTAAGTCTATCTCACTTTAGATAAATAACATACATTGAGAATCAGATTTGCAACACAAGAAAATGATTACTCATATTTCAAAACGGATCGCCATGCCATCTGAGTTTCTTTCAAGGGTAATTCCTCTATTTTGTTCAGAATGTGGTTTTAAAGTCACCTCAATGATTCAGAAGCAGGTGGACTGCATAAAGCAAAGTCCACTTGCATTTTTATTAAAGGTGTCCCAAAGCCTTTCAAACTTCACCCTATAAATCCTCACTGCTATCTTCTTACAGAGAGAAAAAAAGGAGCAAATAAAAAAGAATCCTCCTTTATCCATCAACATTGTCAACCATTCAACAGTATTAAATTCTTTCCAGTAAGATGTTTACGTGCACAGGCTCAGAGCCCATGGGGACCTCTGAAACACAATAACCCCTAGCATTGTTTTCCAAGGCAGAGATTTCTAAAACAAAGGCAGGGTGCAGAAGTACAAAGGTGATTCAAACAGATGATCCAGATACAAATACAGCCCCAAGATGCGTGAGGTGTGAAATCTCTGCTCTAGAAAGCTGGATCACTGACACAATAGGGCCAAGAACCATTTCCTGAGTGTAGGTACCACATGGGATGCTGTCAGCATCTTCCAGTTTCTGAGAGGAAGAGTTGGCACGTGACGGTAACAATAGATGAGATGTCACAGTCACTGAGCGCCTATAGTGAGCAAGGCTGCATTAACTCACAGACCCTGTCTGTGACTCCTTCACACTCTTAAAAATAGAGAGCGCCAAAGACCTTTTGTTTACATAGATTGTATCTATTGATATTTAGTATATTATACATTTAAATGGAGAAAAATTTTAGATATTTACTAAGTCATTTTAAAAAACAATAAAGCTATTACACATGAACAGAAATAACTGCTTTATGAACAGTAACGATATTTTCCAAAGCCAAAAATAAATTAGTGAGAAGAGTAGCACTGTTTTACATTTTTGCAAACTCCCTAATGTCTGGCTCAAGAGAAGGCAGGTGGACTCTCCTAGCTGCTTCTGCATTCAGTCTGTTGCACTATCCCAGGTCATGTTGGCCGCAAGAAAACTCCATGTACAGTCATGTGGGAAAGAATGTGAAAAGGGCGAATAATATCACAGTGCTATTATGAAAAGAGTTCGGCCTTGTGGACCCCTGAAAAGTCTTAGGGACTCTTAAGGGTACCCAGACTATACTTTGAGAACGCCTGCCTTATAAGTTTGGAACAATTATTATCTCCATTTTACAAATGAGCAAACTGGCATAGAAAGGTCAAGGAATTGTCCAAGGACACACTGCTAGACTAGGTCAGAGCAGACAAAATGCAAAGAGCATAATACTTTCTCTCATCTGGTTGTTGCAAGGATTGACTGAGCTCAAGAATGCAAAGGGTTGAGCATCGCGCTTGGCCTATCACAAGTGCACAATTAAATTAACGCATTCTGTTGGGCAAAGCACGGTGGAAAAGCTGTGAAACTTCACACATTTCTGATGAACTGATTATATGACACAAGCAAGAAAAAATAAAACTTCACAGCAGGTCTTGTCTAGAGCAAGGACCCCGCCCCAGCTCTCAGGATGGAAGCAGTCTGTTGCTACTCAGAAACTCCAGGGCCTTACTCCATCCTCCATTAGGCAAATGATGCTGGCCGGGCACCATCACCTTGTTCCTCGGGAAACCTGAGCAAGCCAAGAGAGCTGCATTATTTACAGCCTCCTTTTGGCACCATGCTGTATTTACAAGGAACCTTCCACAAACAACGATGGTGCCTCTAGGCTGTGCAGCCAAACCTCTCCTAGAACCTGACACTGTTGCTTCCACCGAGTGGAGGCCACCAGGATCTCTCGCCTGGAGCACTGCAACTGGTCTCTCTGTTTCCATTTTGACGCCCCTTCTCACACACACATACCCCAGTCCGCTCTCCACCAACAGGGATCTTTTACATATAGAAGGGATAAGTCAGTTCTCTTGCTAAAACCCTCCCAACGCTCCCCTACTTGGTTGGAATAAAAACCAAACTCCTTGACTTGGCTCCTAAGAACCTGCCTCATCTGGCCCCTGCCTACCTTTCCTGCTACAAGCATGTTTCTTCTCTCTAGCCTTTGTTCTCTCTGTTCCCACCACCTGCAATGCTCTTCTAGCACCTCCAACAGCTCGGATGTCTTCTCCTCAAAGAGCCGTTCACCGCGTGCCCACTCTTGAGTTGTCTCTCCACTCCTCCACCCAGTTGTGTTTGAGACTTCAGACCACTTACTCTCAGAGGTTTTTATTTTACTGGTATATTACACGTCTCCTCCCTCCACATCCTCCTCCTAGAATGTAAGCCCCCCGACAGCAAAGGCTCCATCTGGTCTCCGAGACATCCCCAGCGCCTGGCACCGTGCCTGGCACAGACTAAGCGCTCCCTAAAAGTTGGTCGAATGAATGAAGCAGCGGCGCCCGGTGGCCGCCAGAGTCCCGGGGTGGCGTCCCTGGTGCCCCGGCGCGTCCTCACGGTCCGGGCCATCGGGTCACAGATGCGCGCCGGCCAGGGGACCGCGATGGGGCGGGGCGGGGCTGCTCCCCTCCCCGGCCGCGCGCCCGGCCACGCGCCGCAGGTGCCTCCCGGGAGCGCGCACTCCCCGGGTCAGCCGCCCCGCTCGCCCGCACTCACCATGGTGGCCGGGCCGTCGCCGCCCCCGCCCGGCGAGTGGCGAGAGCAGTGGACACGAGGGCGAGAGGCGAGCGCAGGAGCCGGCGCGGCTGACAGGTGAGGCGCCCGCCTCAGACCATGGCTGCTTCCCACAATGCCCTCGAAGTGAAAGTTTGCAGACTCCTCCCCTCCCTCCCCTCCCTCCCCTCCTGCTCCTCCCATTCCCCCTCCTCTTCCTCCCTCTCCTCCCTCTCCTCCTCTTCTTCCTCTTTCCCCCTCCCTCGTTCTTCTCCTCCCTCCCTCCCTCCTCCTCTCCCGCCCCGCCGCAGCTCCCCCCGCCCCGCGCTGGCGGCTCCAGGTGTGAATGCACCTGCGCGCGCCGCCGCACCTGGGCCTGGTCTGCGCGCGGCGGGCGGCCAGAAGCCCGCGGGTGTCGCGCTGGGAACCCTGCGCGGGCAGCCCGGAGGAAGCCGCTGTCCTGATTCTGCTGCGCAAATGTGTCATTCATTGATTCCGCAAACCTTTATCAGACCCTGCAAAGAGATTTCTGGCAACTATCAGAGGCTGTCTTGTCCTAAACCGCGTAGAGAGGCAGCGTTGGGCAGAGCCGGAACTGGAAGCGATTTCTCGCCTCCGTTCTTTTATATATATATATATATATAACTGCAATCCCAGATCATTTTACACAGGTCCGGTTTTAAGAGGTGTCTCCTAAGACTGTGGCGTCGAGCCTCAATTTCTCTCCTCTCCTTGATTTTTCTAAGTCTGTAGAGTTTTTACCTGGGGAGTTGAGTCTCCAAACCCCCAAATCGTAAGCAGAGTTTTGAGTGCATATTTATTTTGGGAAAGTCGCTTGGTTTTATCAAATACCTAAAGAGATCGTGACCCTAAAAAAGTTAAGAATCTTTTTCTGGGTGGTCCCTGGAAGCCAAAATTGGTGCAATCCCTTCCCAGGATCTACTGTGTGCCCCGGGGTGGGGTGTGGGCCGGCTCAGGTGACTGTGAACTAGGGGATGCTCCGTCCACCCATGCGCTGATGCCACATTTGTCAATGCTACTCTGTGCCAAGCCCTACAGAGGGGCTTGGGGGATCCAGCTGGGAACAGACAAGCCGTGTTTCTTCTGAAGCTTATAGTCTCTTGTGGGACCACAAATAATAAACAAGTAAATAAATCATGACAGACTGAGATGAGGGCTAAGCAGGTGAGAAGGTTAGGAAGCAAGTGAGCACAGCTTGCTGGGAGAGACACAGGGGAAGCTACATTTATTTAGCTGGGGCATCAGGGAAGGCTGGCCCCTGAGGGGGTGACAGGAGATCTGAAGGTGAGAAGCCAGTGCTCTGAAAGAAAAAAAGTCCTTTCTCAAGGAAGGCCTCTGTGGCTGGAGTTAAGTTAGATGAGGTGGGAGAGGTGGCAGGAGCCAGAAGCAATGGTCTCCCTACATTAGGGCATCATGTCTGTAGACCAAAAGCCCCCAAGGCAGCAACAGCCTCGAACCTCAAAGTTGTCAGAAAGTTCAGTGCCTCCATGTCCTACAAACCTGTTGGCTTCCACCCCTGGTGTGTAGCATCTGCCAGAGGGCTGGAGGACGATTACTTAACAATTACACCCCAGGCTGGGGGTGAGTTTGCCTTCTGACAGATGATCTACAACTTACTATGAATTTAGGAGAGCTGCCTTCTAAACTCCTAATTCTCCCCCGCAGGGTGCGTTTTCTCCCTGTCTGGGCCTTTTGGCTTTACCTAACTAGAGTCTAACCTTTGTGCCTCTCCTCCTTTCTGACTTCAGGGCAGGGCCCAGCTCCGTCCCACCCACCTTGCTGATCCTATAAAAGGCACCGGGAGCCTTCTGCCTTAAGGGTTTTATTGCTAGTGGAAAGAGATGGGAATACTAAAGGTGAGTTTTAATGCTAAAGAAATCTCAGTGCTCTTGTCATGACAGTTAAGTAAAAGGTTAAGGCAGGAAAAGTTCCCTTCTTGTGTGGCCCAAGTGAGAAGGAATGTGTAAGTGAGCATGAGTGAGGCCATCTTGTTACAGTAAATGGCCCCAGCCCCTCCTCTGTGTGACTACTCGCTGCTCTGCACGTACTCTAAAAAATTCATGTGCTCTCCTGATTTATGGCCTCCACTTATGTATGTACTCCCCAATAGTTCGATAAATTAAAACTTTGTTCTATGCATTTCCCTCCAGGAACAGGCTGACCACAGGCGGGAAACACACCTACAAGGCATCCATCACAGCTGACAGAAGAATGGAACAATGTGATGCCTGGAGCCCGTCACGCCTGGAGACCAACATCCCTGGACCCCCTCCGTACTGCCCATTTTCCCTGTGTAACTGCCTCAAGATTCTGTAATCTTTGAAGATGGGTCTTTGAGACGTTAGTCAACTGTCTTCTCATTTGCCAGCTAATCTAGTTAAACTTTGTTTCTCGATCTCTAACTCGTTGTGATTATTTTTTTTTATTTTTATTTATTTATTTATTTTTCCCCCAAAGCCCCAGTAGATAGTTGTATGTCATAGTTGCACATTCTTCTAGTTGCTGTATGTGGGACGCGGCCTCAGCATGGCTGGAGAAGCAGTGCGTCTGTGCGCGCCCGGGATCCAAACCGGGGCCACCCGCATTGGAGCGCACGCACTTAACCGCTAAGCCACGGGGCCGGCCCTCTAACTCGTTGTGATTAATTGGCTCACATCTCGGGGAGCAGAGCGAGCCCATTGCTCGGTATCAACTGTTTGATTAGAGAAGGAGGGGAGTTTAATTAAAAAATAAGAGCATCCTTTGCCTTCCCTCACGACCTTGCTGAGATGGGCAGTGGATGCTCTCCTGGGCTTCAGCCCCCTAATGTTCTTCCCTCCAGATTCTCACATCACACCCCAAATCACCCTCAGGGCTGGCCGTTTCACATAGGTTATCTTATCTGGCCCTGAAGACAACCTGTAAGAGAGGAGGTGCTGTGCCCATTGCACAGACGAGAGCCTGAGACTCAGAGGCAGTGAGGCCAGAGCAGGCACAGACAGCTCAAGAGGCAGAGCTAAGCCTGGAATCAAGGCACAAGGCTCCGGCTGACCCCACCTCCCCGGAGCCTCACACCCGGCAGACCCGCTCAGGACACAACAGTGGGTGTCAAGCAATGTGTATCCAGAACGCCCACGTGTCTCAGCAGATAACTTGCATTTTTGAGTCTTGACTTCCCTATCCCATCTTTGCTCCCTTCTGAACTCCACATCAGGTCCACCAAGAATGAGGCCAACCCCGGGGAGGACCCAGAGGCCCTGTAGCTCAAGATGCTCCACCGCAAAGAGGGCTTCCCTGGTCCCATCTTGACAGTGTCTTTAAGTTCAGAATCTGCTGTCACAGGCAGAAGCCAGGGTGCACAGGGTTATGTGTTTCTAATTAGGTCGTCTGTGAGCTGGCTGTGCAATTCTGTGTGCGTACATTTACTCACAACACAGTGAGTGTCAGTGCCTTGACATTAGGTCAACTCGATTTATGAGTTTCACTTCTCAGATCTCTCCTTAACTACATAGTAACACAAGATATAGAGAATGCAGTAAAAGCCGCCATCGAGTCCACAAGGGGAGTAGGGCGCAGAGGGGGTGGGGGTAGATAAACAAATTAGGGACATGATAATAAAGTAAAATGATGATAGTCCATAAACTGAAATACTAACATTCTAGGAACCGAGAGAGATCAAGCTGCGAGTTTAAAAAAATAAAAGAAGCAAAGGAGAGGCCAACTTCAAAGCCAGCTTATACAATGCCTCCACAACAGCACATATATTTGATTGAAACTGGCCCTGCTGTTGCTCAGTGTCCTGCTATTCATAAGTCTTAAGTCATCAACGTCTCAGTAATCCCTTCTGCAGTGTTCAGGAATTCATCTCATCTTGGGGAAACTTGGTTTGAGGCCTGATGTTCTTTAGAAAACCCCTTTTCTCATCAAAACAGGATATTTTAATCCCAAATGGAAGAACCTTATCTGGTAGATTTCTAAAGACTATTTTCAGAAAATTTTCAATTAAAAAATAATGTTTCATTGTAGATCTGGGAAATACAGTCAAGCGTTATTTTAAAACCCCACTCTTAATTCTACCATCAAGAAATAACCACTGTCAGGGGCTGGCCCAGTGGCTTAGTGGTTAAGTTCGCATGTTCCGCTTTGGCGGCCCAGGGTTCGCAGGTTCGGATCCCAGGCACACATCTATGCATCGCTTACCAAGCCATGCTGTGGCAGGTGTCCCACATATAAAATAGACAAAGATGGGCCTGGATGTTAGCCCAGGGCCAATCTTCCTCAGCAAAAAAAGAGGAGGATTGGCAACAGATGTTAGCTCAAGGCTAACCTTCCTCAGCAAAATAAAAAAGATAAAATAACCACTGTTATATTTGGTGTATTTCCTTTCAGGTTTGTATTCTGCAGACACAGAGGAGGAGAGAAAAAGAGATTTAGTTTTTAAAGCAAAAATTGGAATTCTACCATATGTACTGTTTTATAGTCTGCTGTTTTATTTTTTTAGTAACATAGTTATTGAACAAATGTTAATTGAGCATCTACTCTGTGCCAAGAACTGTGCTGGCTACTGAGCATAGAGCAGTGCAAAAGGAGACATGCTCCCTCTCCAGATGAGTGTACAGTGTTAGGGGGAAGACGGATATTAAACAGATAATGACATACATCAATGTGTAATGATCACAAATGCTATGAAAGGGAGTGGTAAGGTGCCCTGTAGACATGTAGTAAATAATTCCTGGCAGAATTTGTTGTTTGCCTCCCCAGAACCCATTCCTCCTGCTTCCTATAATCCCAGTTTGGGTTTAGGGACCCAACGCACATGTGAACTCTCAGCCGTAGGAGTGACATATGACCGAGTCCTGGCAGATCAGAGCATTGCTTTCCCACAGCGACAATGATTGGTTCTAAAATAAGCATATGCTTAGAATCAAGTAACCCAAGCCAACAAGACTAAATTCTGGGACATTTTTTGGAATCCTCTTGGAGAATTCCACTCTTCCTACTAGGTTTAAAGGTGAAGGAGGAAGCTGGAGCCACTGCAGCCATCTTAGCACCATGAAGCATGAGCTTCTTTTTGGTGCCAATGCCAAAGAAATGGAGCCAAGAGGCAAAGAGATAATCAAGTCCTGGTGACAATTTTTGAGTCCTAGATCAA